GGAAAGACAGGAACAGCGGCAGGAGCAGGAGCAGGAGCAGCAGCAGGAGCAGCGGCGGCAGCAGCAGCAGCAGCGCATAAAAAATGTGTTTCAGTTGAGCTTAACTGACTGCTTAATGCTCGTGCAGGCCTCTTGTTCTATCAAAATATATATTTTATATCTGAGTATGATAAATATGAAGTTAGACTCCTAATTCTAAATTAAATATGTATGTAGTATGACTAGCTTCAATACTGTTGATCAGCCACGCCTCTAAATAGCATATACATGCATATATACGTATATGCATTTTTATACTACAAAATATTTCTATCTCTGCATTTTATATGCATCAGCATATATAGATATAATTTAAAGCCTCTAGCTTCGATAGGCCTGTCAAAAGCCCAATATGCCTCTTCACCCAAACTGAACGAGTATTAAACGAAAAAAATGAAATAAAAATAGAAATGAAACAACAATCAGTTTGTCTGCGTGTTTGCTTTGCTAGTCTGTCTGATTGTCCTGCCCGTTTCTCTGTCTGTCTGTCTGTCTGTCTGCCCGCCTGTTTCTGTCCATCCGTCTGTCCGTCTGTCTGTTTCGCTGGCTGAGCTGTGCGACGAACATTCAACATTTTGCCGCCATTAAAATCAAATTGCGCTTTCGTGCACGTTCCTGTGCGGCATAACCAAGCAGCCAAAGGAGCCAAAGCCGCGTCCTGCCGTTTGCCATTCGCCAATTTCGACTATTTCAGCATTTTTTATGATTAATAAAAGCAAATGTAAATAGTACCGAAATAAGAAAGAAAAAAAAACAGCCAGCAAACGAAATGAAAGCGAAATGTGCGCCCTTCGCTGCTGCTGCTCCTGCGCCCACTCCTGCTGCTGCTGCTGCTGGTGCTGCACTTCGTTCCAGCTCGACCTTCACACGCTCACTGCAGGGTGGCTCGAATTTGCAGTTGGCTGGCAACCACCCAGGTACACTCACTCCACTCAGCACACACTCACCCACCTCTCCCTCCTCCGCCCACTCCTCTAGCAGCAGCCAGCAGTCGTGCAGCACTTTCGTTTAATTTCTATTAGCGCTGCCGCGCCGCTTGTCATTGCTGTGGCACGCGGCGCAGGTTGCTGAGGTTACCAAAATGAGGGTGGTGGGCACAGCCGAGGGGCGGGCTGCAGGAGTGGTGCATGCCTGCCTGACTGCCTGATGATTGTTTGTATTTCTCATGGCACTCGATGTCAGTCAAAATCGTTTCCATTTGCCCAATGCGTCTGGCTTCACGACTGACAATTTCCAGCCAGCCAGCAACATCGAAAATGTTTTTAACGGACTAGAAAAAAAGCCAATAACCAAATTAGAGATGTGAGCGTGTGAACAGCATTGTGTTTAGTTTGAGTAGTTGGATATAAGCTGAAGATTTGTTTACTATATAGAGTGTAGAGTTTCGAGGGGCTGAATTGTCTATCTGAAAAATACATATACAGTATATTCCGTACTCTCTCTGTTATGCTTTCTCTATTATACTCTATCGAGATCAGCTCATATTTTTATGAAATCTTTCCTTTATATTCCCATATACATCCCAAGTAAACAACATCATAGGAATACTAGCTCCTCCTTCTCAAAAGTGTTCTCTGTTATACAATCTGTTCTACAAATATCGGTTCTCGAATATATATTCACATATATATTCCAACTGAACCCATCTCTAATCATCTCTAGTTCTTCTTGCTGCCCTTGCTGAAGCTTTCGTCGCCGAAAAGTATGCAGGATTTTTTGTTCGCTCCTAATTTCCTGATTACCCTCAGCGCTGGGTGGGCAGCTCAGCTGAGAGCCATGCCAGCCGTGCGCAGCCCCACAGTCGAGGCCAACGCCAGCGTCAGTTGCCACTCATTTCGTTTTGTTTGTTGTTTGTTTTACAACGTTTTTAACTTGTTTGCAAGGATTAGGTAAGCAACTCAAACACAACAACGTCAACGTCAACGGCGACTACGACGACGACGACGTCGATGGTGCTGGATGAATAGCAGCCAAATGCAAACTCATAAAAAAGCAGGAGACGAAGCTCGACCTGAACCTGAACCTGGGTATCGTGCACGTCGCTGCGACTCGGGGGCAACCTGCAGCGTTTGGCGTTGCCAACATTAAATGCATCGAATTACATTTTCTATTAACCAGCGCGAGCGCGGGCGTGTGGCTATGGATGCCGCTGAGGCTGAGCAGCAGTATGAGAGAGTGAGAGAGAGAGAGAGAGGGGGAAAAAGAGAGAGAGTGATGGTAGCTGCGGGTGAGCTTGAACCGGTCTGCTGACTTTGACGTTGCAGATATCGCCCGCCTGGAGCAGACCTCGTTTGCTGGTCCCGGGTCGCTGCGGGTCGCTGGCTACTTTGTGGCTGCCTGCTAGCAGGATGTTGTGTGTGTGTGTGTGTGTGCTGCTGCTGCTGTTGTATGTGTGTGTGTGTGGGCGTGCCTTTAGCGAATGTTGCTCGTTTGTTTGCTGTTTGTTTTACAATTCATTTTTTAACGCTTTTTCGCTGTGATTCCTTCGGCTGCCCGTCGCTGACATTGTTGTGCGGCGCCTTGAAACTGCTGCAGTGCCAACAGCCTTGGTCCTGGCCCTGTTTTATGCTGTTGTAGCCGCCTCCTGTACGCCTTTGCCTTGATTGCATAAGTTTTTGTTGCGCTTTGGCTAAGAAGCCGCCGGCTGCACGCGGTCTACTGCCAGTCTGTCTGTCCTGCTGCCGCTGCTGCTGCCGCTCCTGCTCCTGTTTTGTCTGTGTCTATGTGTGTGTGTGTGCTAAAGTTATGAAAAGTTTTGTCATTGTTTTTCCTTTTGCAGTGCTTGCCTTCACGTATTTGCCGGCTCTTTAAGCGCACATTAATCAAAGTTTTTTCCACTGCTGCCCAAAAACTCATTCCGTTTGAGTCCAAGTTTGAGGGCATTTATAAGGCAATTGTTGAGCTTGTTTTTGTGCGCTCCAGTGCACAGGACAGGTGCGGGTGAGCCGCATGCCGCATGCCACACGAATGTGCTGGCTGGCTGGAGCACAGCAAATGTCTGGGCCACTCGTCTTGATGCCACACAAATTAAAGCCTTATGCTTTTCGCTGCTGTCGCACAAAGCAGCCGCAAATTGTCTTAGCCTTTCCAAGGATACACAGAGACAAGAGAGAAGCGAGAGGGAGGGCGACAAAATTGAGAGGGTTAAAAATGCCAATGCACAAAATTTAAGCTGAAATGCAGAAAAGCCAAATGGCAAAACTTTGTTAACTTGCGGTCAGCTGAACAGACAGTTTGTTGTTATTGGACTCCCTCCGTCTGATCTGGATGCCAAAGTCAAGTCCAAGCGCGCCATAAATAGCTAAAGTATGCTGAAACTTGTTGGACTGTCTGATAGTTATTACACTGTAAAAAAATAATGACGACTTTAAAGTGCTTAAAATGATAATATGCATGAATTTTGAATTCTGCATTAAATGCAGACGAAAGGAAAAATGTGAAATGTTTAAGCTTTGATAAACTATATTTGATATAAACATATACAAATTAAATATAAGAAAATAAAAACAATAAATATTAAGAGTGTAAATAATTTCACTATTATTAGAATACAATTTTCGCCAGTAACATTTTTTTAAATTCATATTTAATTTATTTAATTTTATATATATACTTTTATATACTTTATCCCTCTAATAAATTTTATATACTTTTATTCCTCTAATAAATTTATAAAATTTTTTTTTTTGTTATCAGAAAAATAGACAGAGAATATAAATAAATAATATCACATTAAAAATTGATAATATATTCCTATTTTAGCAATTTATTATGCCACATTTATTTTACATACATACATATTTATTGCTTTATTATATTTTTCTACTCCTAAATAAATAAAAATAATTTGGCTCACTTCTAAAATATATTGAATTTCTTAAATCGAAAGCTGTGCTAAATAAATTATATGAAATATATATAAAATTCATTTAGAAGAAAAATTAACTTTGTCAAGTTTCTAAACAACATTTATTTTTATATTTTTATTCTTTTCCAAGTATTTTAATTTCTCGATTGTCTTCATTGAATGTTAACTAAGCAACAATTATAGTTATCGACTAAAAATTCTTTGCACATACTTTTAGAATAAAATTATTTCCAACTTGTACTTCAAGTGTTCAAACACACACGCACACACATACATAGATAGAGTGTTGGAGCAGGAGAGGAGGCTTCTGTTGGCTAGCGTCTAATTGTCTCTGAGTGTCTGCCCTGCAGCTTGGGCCGTCTGCGTGACTGTCTGAGTGACTTATGTCTGGCCTTAAGAGAACCTTTCTGTTGTTTTTTCTGGTCTGTTTTTTTTTACAGCCTACACAAATGCAGCATTGAAAATGTGCTGAAATTTGTAGAAGGCAGCACGCGAAGCCGCAATGCAAACAAAACAGAGAAAAAAAGCATTTAGCTAGAGTCTGGGCACACACACGCACACACACACACACACAGAGTATTTCTACTGCAATTACAAGCATATGCATAAATAATAATGCACGAAAATGCTTTAAGTGCAACTGTGTCTGGCTCCGGTTTGGGCTGGAAGTTAGCGTCTGGGCTGGGCTGGTCTGGGCTGGGCTGCTAACGGTTCCTGTCTGCCATGTCCACCAAACTCCCGGCCTGTCTGCTCGACTGGCAACAGTCTCGTCTCGTCTCTCTGCTGCTGCGGGGGTGTCAGCTGCAGCAGCAGCAGCAGCAGCAGCCGCCGCACTTCAGTCTCAATGTGTCTGCAGTTACCCTTGAAAATGTGTGTGGATTGCATTTGGCGTTGTTATTGTTGTTGAACGCATAGCGTTGCACATTGCACGTTGCACGTTGCACGTTGCAAGCCGAGCGCTGCTCCAAATGAGTTCAATACACTTGGCGCACGGCTCGTAAACATAAACAAAACTGGGAAATATACAGGGATATTTTACGACATGCGCATGCGCAATCACTCACACACTCTCTCTCTCTCTCTCTCTTTACAGGTGTCTGGCATTGCCGAACTGAGCTGAGACCGAGTCGTGCCACAGTTCGTGTCGATTCATCGTCGTCGTCGCTGTCGTCGCTGTCGTCGTGGTGTGTGTTTATTTAACACAGTTCCTCGTGCTTTGGCCACTCAGTTCGTATTCGCAGCTCGTGCCGTGCGTTCGTCCTTCACCCATACACACACATACACACGCACACCCGCATACATACGTCCGCACGCGGAACACGCTCGCATTTGTGATCCGAATCGGAATTCGCGCTCATCGCGTCGAACATGTGAATACATTCAAACAATTCGAATCTAGTCGAGATCAGTCGAAGCTCCCTGGCTCAAATGCTCCACATCGTGTGCTCGCATCGTTTTAGTTGTTGTTGTTGTTGTTGAGCGAGAATACCAGCTGCTGTCTCTGATCTCTGTGTGTGTGTGCGCGCGCGTCTGTGAGGAGGAGGAGTGCCGACGCCTTAGTTGATAGCCATCGAAAGCGAGGACCAGAAAGATGGCCAGGTTGCGGCAGAGCCTGCTCGGCGGCTGGCTGCTCGCGCTTGCCGCCCAAATAATTTATGTGGATTACGCTCGGGCGGATTATGAGAACACTTGGAATTTATATTACGAGCCACCGTGCTGCACGGGCGCCGCAGCAGCTGTTGGCCATCACCTGCGGCATCACAAAGGTAAGCCCATCCCAGTCTACCCATTTGATACACATACAGCGTTACTTCAGCTTTAAGTGAGTGTGTTTTCTTACTGTTAATTTATCTACTGCCAAGTGCGGCGATTCGCTTATCTGTTTCACGCAATCTGGCTAAGCGAAAATTGTTGAGCAGCTAAGCCGTGGCAACAAATCGGGGCACAACAATGGGCGGCCGAAGCGAAAGCAAATCGAAGCCTGGTAAATAAGTCAACAGCTTAGGGCTTGAACAGCCGCCGCGCTTCGGCCAGAACTTTTGGCCAACACAACAGCCGCTTAGCCAGTTCTGTACACATGCACAGGGGTTCGTTCCGTTTGGCTTTCTTTATTTCTTTTCTTCAGAGTTTTCCTCCTTTTTTTTTGGTTTGGTTAAGGAATAATTTTGACTTTAAGCGGATTTGCTATTGTTGTTGGGCGGAGAGGCGCAGCGGCGCAGCGGTCGGGGGTCGTCCCACGTCTGCTGTCGCAGCCATCCATTGATTTGCCATTTCGTTTCACTTCCGCCGTCTGTTATCCTTTCGCCATTTGGCCATTTGGCACCCGATACTCTGGCTTAGCTCGTATTGCTTTTGTTTGGCCATCATTGTTTTATTTCCCCGGCAAGACGCTGGCTGCCTCGCAATCGACTCCAACTTATAGACTCATTCGCGCCCAGCAGCCTGTGTTTCCTCAGCTCTCAGCCCTTGTTGGCTTGGCTCGAGCGAAATTAAAAAGTTTTGCGCAGCTTTTCTTTCTATTTTCCTTCACTCTTTCTTTTTTTTTTTGTTTTTTGTACTTTTGTTTTGTTTGGTTTAATTGCAGGCTCCTGCTCCTGCTACTGCTCCTGCTGCTTCTACTGCTGTCCGACTCGCTGGCATTTCCGCCACTTGAACTGCCTTTGCGCAGCTTTTTGTTGTTTGCTATTAGTGTTTAATTAGTTTTCAAGTGCTGTTTTTATAGACTTAAAGTGGGCTTATGCCCAGCCAGATTTGCAGCCCAATAAGCCACTGTGTGTGTGTGCGTGTGTGTGTCTGTGTGTGGCCCACATTTGACTGCTGAATAATTAAAAGTCATTTAGGTAAATCAAACATGAGCATTACACAGAGGTGCATCAAAAATGCAGCTCGCATTAAGTAATCCGCTTTAATTTACCCACACACACACACACACACACACACACACGCACACACAATAAACACTGCCCGCCAGCCATCCACCATTCGCTTACAGTGCGCTGCAAAAGTTTGCTGCAGCTGCTTTGTCGCTTAGTTCATTTGCCGTGCAGTAAATAAAAAAGTTGTGCGCGCCAAAAACTTTTTAATTTTTATGTTAACACTCATGTGGCATTATGACAGTTGCGGCATGTTTGGTGCCACACACACACACACACACACCCACACACACGATGATTTTTTTCCGCTGACCATCTAGTTGCAGCTCCTCCGCGCCCTGCTCTAACATAATTGCAGTTATTCTCGCTCGCAGCTGTGTTTCCAGCGCTCTGGGGCCTCGTTGTTGGCACAGCGCAATAGCAAAATATGTTGCAAAATATTTAATTCAAATTATGAACTATAACTGCATTCATATTCCCATTTATATGCAACGCTCTCTGTTTGCCAAATTAATGCGGTTTAATTGCATGTTGTGTGCTCCTCATATTTATTTATCTACATTTGGGATGTTAGAGAGGAATCTGTTGGGTGACCTTGGTGGGAGTAAATAAAAATTAAAAATAAATAAATAAAAAATATTAGAAAAAGTAAAAATGTAAATAAAATAAAACTAAAATAAAATATTTGTATAAAATACAAATAAAAAATTACTTTAGAAAATTCATAAATATTTATATAAATAATAATAATAATATTAATAATAATAATTATAATAATATTAATAGTATATTATAAATTTTTGAATATTTAATTTTAATAATATAAAATAAATTTAAAGTTTAATATTCAAAAATAATTAACATATATTTAATAAATATTTGTTGTATATAAAATCATATTTATAAATATATATAAAAACTGAACATTATTTTAGACAACGTTAATTAATTTATATTCATTAAATACTTGTAAATATTTAGAATTTAATTTAATGAATTATATTAGGCTAGCCATATGGATTGCATCAAGCTGAGAGTGCTGTGTGTATAAGTTCTTCGTGACGCAAGCATCGGCTCACCTATTTAACTCTTTAGAATTGTCTTCGGTTGCTTCTCATTTCAACGAACGTAGTAAACGAAGTGAAGCAGTGAGCTTGATCTGACTCTCTTCCTCTTGCTCAGCCTCTCTATGTCAAATGGCAGCATTTGATTGGCGCCTGTCGGGAGTGAGTGGGCATGTGTGTGTGTGTTGGTGTGTGTTAATGTATGTGTATATTGATACGCTTACGATCATCGGCATTCAAACAGCGCTGGGTCAGTCAGTCTTGAGCAGCAGCTCGTGGAGTAAAGTCGAGCATAGAAGACCTAGGAAAATAAACTACAGAAAATATAGAATAACATAAATATCATATTTGCTGCCAACTAGGTATTTTATATTTTATATATTAACAATGTATATAAATAATATAATATTTTTATAATGTATATAAATTTATAAATAATATACTTTTGAATTAAATATATTTATAAAGTTACTTTTTATTTATTATATTTTTTTATATTTATATATATTATATTTATTTATTATATATTTTTATATATTTTTGCATTCTTTGAATCAATGTATAATCATGTACATAAACATGTATGTAAATGTAGATTCTATAATATATTTATTTAAAATTTAATTGAAATGGTATTAGATCATTTTTTCGTGAGGCATTTGTCTGGCAGACAGACTCAAGTTCATTGATTTATTTTCAATCAATTATAATAAGGTATCAGCCTACTAAAGCAAAGCAGTTAGCTATTCCCGAGAATCTCCCTTATCTATATCCACAACAGACTGACCCACGCTTCACAGAATTAAATTTTTTAGGCCGACAAATATTTGTACTTTTGTTTAATATATATTAAAAAAAATTATCCAAGTTCCGAGAATGGCCAAACATAATTAATTTGCATGCCCTTAAACAAAATTGAGCTATGGAATTAGTTTAAAGAATATTTTGCTAAATATATTTAATAATATTATATTAATATTAAGAGTTGAGCTTTTTAAAGCATTTGCGTTCCTCTTATGAAATCTAATGGAATTCTCTATTATGAGCACTTAATCCCTGAAACTGTTTGTGCAATGCATTAACGATTTAGCCCGCTCAAAGAGCCGGGTGCAAAGACCTTATCGAAACCGAGCAAACCGCAGCCATTTAAACAATTAATGCAATCAAATCAAAGACAAAGCGCCATCATTTCAAGGTGGTTTTTGTGGGCGCGGACGTTATGTAAACAGAGGCGTAGGCGACCGGGGGAGGGGTGGCCGGGTCTAACCCTTTGCCTTGGCCAGCATAAAGGAAAGCGGCGACGGTACAAATTTTAAGCACCAAAGTTTTTGCCGAGACCCGCAAAAGGAGTAAAAACAACACGAAACTTAATAAAGGTATGCAATGGCTAAAGTAAGCAACAAAAAACGAAAAAATGGGGGAGGAAAAACCAAAATAAAAATAAAAATAAAAAAAACCGAGAAAAAAAGTAAAGGCGAATAGCGAAAGCAAAGTAGAAAGTAGCATATCAGATGTTTGTGTTGTTAATTAAAGAAAAACAAGCAAAAGTTTAATGGCGAATATTAGCAGGAGTTGCCCCGCCTGCCCGCTGGCCATGGCTGGCAGACCAAATGCCAGGCCAAACTTGCGGCCGTTGCGTAAATAGAAAAAAGCTCAAAATACAACAACAACAACAAACTGGCAAGAAGAGAAAATGCTGCCGAAAAAGGGTGTAAAAATACACAAAAAATAAAATAAAAAGAAGAAGAGAAAAAGAGCAAAATAGAAAAAAAAACTTGCCTCATTTCGGGCACGCACGCAAGCCCAAAAGAAATAATAAAAAGCGAAGAGCAGGGCAAGAAAATGAAAACTGCGCACAAATGTTTTGCCTGTAAACTTAAAGAATTTGGGGCATTTAGCGCTGCCCACTTTACAAGGGCCAACAAAGCGCCCAAAACTTTGGCCAACAAACTTCGGCGCCAGGTAACTAACTATGTGGGCAGACCAACAGCGACTAGCCGGCTAATTTACCCGGCCAACGACGACTCGGCTCTGGCCTCACAATTAAGCAGGAATATTTCGTTTCTAGTCGGGGCAGCAGCTGAAATTCATCGGCAATTGAATTGATGGAGCCCTGCCAAACTGAGCCCTGGCCCCAGCCGCAGCATCAATTATTATGGCATAATAAAGTTGATGTGCGGAAAAACAATTTCAGGGCAAAGCCAAGGCAGAATGCTAACACACACACACACACGCACGTGAAGCCCACATCAAAATCAACAACAACACGAAACGACAAATAATCTCGAGTCAGGTATTTGCTGATGTGCCCACACACACACACACACACATGGAGGGAATTTATGGGCTGCGCCTTAAAGTAGGCAACAGAAATTTAACAAAAGCTGACAAATTGTCACACGATGACGACGGACGGCGCACATGAAAAATCAATACAAACAGAGCCGGGCCTGGCCTGTTGCTCATTTTTATGAGATTTAGCCAAAAATAGCCTGGTGTAAGCGCTTTGGCTTGCTCGACACGCCCCAAATTCGGTTAAAGCCATAATTTACAGCATTGTTGACCCAAATTCTGTAGGGTATCAGCTGCGTGGCGCTTAACAAGTTCATTAGGCAGCTGCAGCTGTAGTTGGAGCTGTGGCTGTAGATGCAGCTGCCTCTGCTGCTGCTGCTGCTGCCTTTGCCTCTGCACTCGGCGTTCGGCAAGTGGCAAATGCCATAATTCAACTTATGTCTCAACGTTTTGGCCAAACAGTCGAAAGCCACAAGTACAAATGCTTGTCAGCTCCACACACACACACACACACACACACACACACATAGACAGAGG